TAGATCACACCATGAAGTGGGAGACTCCACAGCTCCAACTCTGTTTGGAAAGGCAGGATAGTGACCCATGGAAACCAAGACATCAGCTTTCTTCTGTTTTAATATTGCTGAGCTGCTTTTTGTTTGTTTGTTTTATGATTAAGAGAACAGAGGTTGCAGGTAAGGCAAAATTTGGAATGGGTTCCAAATTTTTTCTAGAGTTCCTGTGCCAAGTTGAGGGGTTCACAAATTTTTCTTTTGAACCTCAGTCCCCAAAGCTTCTAAGAGGTCACACGAATAATCATTCTCGATTCTTGGAAAAAGCTGAGTCATCTCTCGTTGAGGGGCATGGAAGAGTTCCTCCTGAGACATTTCTGCTTCTCACAGCACTTAATCTTCAATGTCATTTCCTCCTCTGTAGAAGTGCGGGAGAGAGCTGAGTTCTTAAAAAAAGTAAATGTGCTCCCCTTCACTGATATGGTTTTACTACAGCGGTTGCTGTAGCTCTTGTTTCCTTTTATCTAGTGGGACGTGGGTAGTACAAATCCGGTGATCCAAATCTTCCCTTTTCACTTTTGGAAACGATTGTATCAGGCTTCCTCTGCATAGGCCCAGCCTGGTAGATCAAATTGTTTGCTCTCTAGGAATTCTGGGAAGCATATGCTTGAGTGAGCTTTCTCTCCTATGTACATGTCTACATTATAACAATTTTCATGTCTCCATTGTCACCAATTTTAATGCATAGCATAATTACTTATTTACAGGCAAGCATGGCCATGTATAGTCTATGAGTTCCTGCAGAACAGGAATGGTGTTTTTTCTTCTTAGTCCCTCCAGTACAAATGGAAATGCTTGATAGGTGTTTGTTGAGTGAGTGAGTGAGGAATGAATGGATGAATGAATGAAGCTATCTTTCTGCATGCTAAGTGGTGGAGATTCTGGAGTCTATTTGGATTGGTTGTTAACATGGTCTTCTTTTGTGCTATTGATTGGTCCGACCACATGTGGGAACACATTGATTTTGTACAACACTGCTAATATTCAGGGTATTACTGCATTCAACTTCTTCCAATAGAGTTGTTTTTTTAATGAAAAAAACTGCTATATTACTTTAAATGATTGCAAAATAATAAAACAAATAATAACCTCAAAACCAGAAAACATTATTTTCACGAAACTTCTAAAACAACCCAGTTCTACAAGGTCCACTTACAAAATATATACACAAGGAGAAAGTAGCCTTACAAACTACTGAGTGCTATGTATTGCTTTTTTAATAATAAGAACAAAAATGTTTGCCATATGTGGTTAAGATCAAAATATCTTTAAGATAAAAATATTTTCCTAGGGTATTTTCTCCATGTAAGTCATAGATGGAACACTGAGGGGAAATGGTTTATTGATTATAACATTTTAATGGTACTTTTTCTTAATCAATTCTTGCATGAATAAGGCAAGGCGGAAAGTTAAAGCCATTTAGGGTTTGAGAGGGCCCTAAAACTACATGCTTGTCATTGTTTGGAGCACAGAGTCAATCAATATGACTCAGTGAAAAGACTGAAGAAATCAACATTTGTTAACAGGAAGTCAATGTGTGAAAGCATAAAAGTAGAGCTGAATCATTTAAGACACAAGGGACCAACCTCAGGGACCAAAATTTTAGGTTTCCAATTTTATTCTTAGGATTAGGTGGGGAAGTATATAACAGAACATTCCAAATAATAGTAGATTAAATCTTTTTTTTTTTTGAGTCAGTATCTCACTATGTTACCCAGGCTGTAGTGAAGTGACAAAATCATGACTCCTGTAGCCTCAACCTGCTGGGCTCAGGTGATCCTTCCTCCTCAGCCTTCCAAGTAGCTGGGACTGCAGTTGTGCACTGCCATGCACAGCTAATTTTTTTAAATTATGTAGAGATGAGGTATTACTACATCAGCCAGGTTGGTCTCAAACTCCTAGGCTCAGGAAATCCTCTTGCCTCGGTCTTTCAAAGTGCTGAAATTACATGCATGAGCCACCATCCCTGGCTTCTTTTTCTTTTGTGTAAAAAGTTCTCAGGTAAAGAATACAGGATTGGCATGGAAGTTCCTTGGTCATCAGCTCCTTCTTTCTGCTTCACTGTCACTAACAATTGGCTTCAATTTAAGTTTGCCTCATGGTTCAGTATTGTTGTTGAAGCTCTAACCATCCCATCTGCAGTTCAGGCAATAGGAAGGAGGAAAGGGCAAAGGGCATTTCTTTCTGCTGAATTATCTCTCTTTATAAAAACTTCCTAGAAGCCTTCAGCCAATAACTTTCACTTATTTCTCATTGACCACTACTGGCAATGAGAAAGGCTAGAAGATACTATCTTTTGTGGTCCCAAATAATAGGAGTTTTTTTTTTTTTTTTACCAGGGAAAAAGAGGAGATGGCTATTGATGGACAAGATCAGGCATGCTCAAAGTGGTGTGGCTGTAGATAGGAGATGATCATTGTGTAGCAAACCGTAGTCTCTGCTAAACTTCAAGTAGTCTCTGCTAACCCAAGTTAGTTTTGCAGGTTTGGGAACCTCCATGTCTCTTCAGAGTGATTTTATGTATCTCTGCTCTGACCCAGTGTGTATTAAGTTTAAATTTTATCTTCCAGAGAGCAATTTTATTCTATTTATTTCTAAGTTTTCAGGAGAAGCCTCAGTATGCTGACTTTAATAAGCTGTTACACAGACATTTATGGTTAATGTGTACAGAAAAAGAATGTAATTGTTTCATGATGGAATATAAGAGGTGATGAGGAGAGTTTGTCAATTCAGAGTCAACCAATATGACTCAGTGAAAAGACTAAAGAAATCAAACGTTTGTCAACAGGAAGTTAATGTGCGAAAGCATAAAAGTAGGGCTGAATCATTTAAGGCACAAGGAACCCAACTGTTCAGACAGGATGTACTTGGTACTCAAATAACTCATCAGACAACAAACAGATAGCTTTTCAAGTGTGTCTCAGTAATCTTGCAAAACTGTAGACTTTTTAAGACATTTGGTTATATTGCCGTCAGGCAGGTTGAGCACAGTGTCCTTTCTCCCTCACTATACATGTGTCTGGCTTAGTCAGCTTAAGCCACTATAACAAAATACTGCAGAGTGGGTGGCTTAAACAGCAAGTTTATTTCTCACAGTTCTTGAGGCAGCAGAGTACAAGATCATGGTACTGGCCAATTTGTTTTCTGGGGAGGGCCTGCTTCCTGGCTTAGAGATGTCTATATTCTCATTGTGTCTACATATAGTGGAGAGAGAAAGATTGAGCTCTCTGGTGTCTTTTTTCTGTAAGGACATTGGATCTCATCAGATCAGGGTTCTACATTTATGACTTTATTTTACCTTAATTATCTCCTTGTAGGGCCCACCTCCAAATATAGTCACAATGAAGCTTGGGTCTACAGCGTATGAATTTGGAGAAGACACGATTCATTCCATAACAATACTCTTTCCCAAAATGAGAGCTTAGGTAAGGAAGAGTTTCCTTGATTGACCAAGAGCATCCTCCTTTAATCAGATGGTTTTTCTAAAAACAATCAAACTCAAAACACTGCTCTTCTTTTCATTTTAGAGTGAACTGGAAATTAATATGTGCAAAAACTATGAGAGTCAGAAGGTAAGACTAATTCTGCTACCTAGTTCTAGACAGGCTTAATTGCTTTCTGAATCAATATTGATTTATTTCATGCATTATATTCTTACTTAATTGTTCTTAGTGCTGTCACTTTCTGTTATAACAGAACGGACACAAAATAAAGCACAAAGCCTTCTTTTATATCTGTGGGGAAAGCAAATGTACTCTGCCCATGGCCACAAAGAAGGGAGAAGGTGGGATGATTAGAAGGGCAACATCAAATCATTTTCCCCTAAAACCTTTGAGCTATTTTAAAATCTGGGTATTTGCTTCAACTTGACTCTTAATTTCAGTTTGAAGCCACAGATAGAACCAAATAAGCTCTCAGAGACAGAACTTCCAAATTAAAATGCTATATTCTTTTAGGCTATGCTGGGGAGATATTGGTATGCTTAATAAAATACTGCTTCCCTGAAAGGATGAGGAATGCATTTCAATTGTGGGCTTCATCATCAGTTACTTGTCAAAGTAAACTGTTTATCTTCCAATTTCAGAGTCATCAGGTTTGCCATAGCTGTTGAAAAAGGCTTCCTCCCTGGCAATCTGATCTGGTTTGACTGTTGGATGTTAACAGCATGGAGTCTAAAATAAAAACACAGCTCTCAAGTTTTAGTGACAAGTTTTCAGGATAACTCATCAACTGGAATCTGGGGCAATCGCAACTGTCCTTTTGGTTAAAGAGCCTTATGATGATATGTTTCATGTATTTGAAATTTAGGAAAAATAGACACAGAATTATTTTTTTTAATGGAGTTCAGAAAATCTATAATTTTTTCCTTTTTCTTTTGTCATAAAATATTGTCTGGGATTTCATAATCAGTATATTTTTAATGAATCAAAATGAAATAAGATGGAATATTTAAGGAAATCCCTTTTACTATTTTATTCTCAATAATTTGTTAGGTTGCTTTTTAAACCCAGTGCCTCCATTTTTCTAAGTATTCATAGTGCAGGGGAGTACTGGTTTATGATATCTAAGAACCATGGCAAAAATAAACAAACAAACAAAGCATCTATTTCTATATGCTTGTAAGAGAGCTTGATGATGTTTCCTGGAAACATTCCCCCAAACCAAAATTAAATAATGTAAGATGATCCAGCAGAAGTCACGACATTTACCTGGTTGAAGGTGGTACCAGTAGTCTTACGTAGTAAGCCTATAACTCCTTTGTGGAGTGCGTGGGATAGGGGAGATATTACTTCATGTTTGTAAAAGACAGAAAGTCTTTTAATTTTATTTAGAATAAAATCAGCACGGTAGAAATACATCAGTGTACATGTGAAAAAGAACTTGATTCCTTAGCAAGTCCCAGGACTTGGACCCCAAGTGAGCAATGCTTTATCTGACTACGTCTGAAGATCGAGTTGAACTATGAGCATATTAGGAAAGAAGAAGCAAGTAATTGATAAATCCAAGAAAATCATGCACAATCTTAATTTGTATGAGATGGGGTAAGTTGGCTTCTGATCCAAATCTGGTATTTCTTGGTTAATAGGGTGTAGATTCCAGGCTTCTTGGCAATACCACATTCATGACCTCCAGAGACTATGGCATGGAAGACACCATTACAGACCAAGGGCCCCCCTGAGTCACCCTGGAAAGAAGAAAATGGGCAAGTACTTGGTGAGAAGCTGTTGAGATTTTTCTACCACCAACTGTTGATTGCTTAAAAAATCGTTATCTAGCTAGGCTTGGTGGCTCAGCCTGTAATCCCGCACCTTGGGAGGCTGAGGTGAGTGAATTGCCTGAGCCCGCGGGTTCAAGACCCGCTTGGGCAACTTGGTAAGACCTCATCTCCACAATAAATCAAAAAAAAAAAAAGTAGCCGGGTGTGGTAGCGCGTGCCTGTAGTTCCAGCTACTTGGAAGGCTGAGGTGGAAGGATCACCGGAGCCCAACAGGTCAAGGCTGTGGTGGCCAGGAACAGCCACTGCACTCCAGTCTGGGTGACAGAGTGAGACTCCAACTCAAAAAAAAATAAATAAAAAAAGAATCATTATCTGGTTTCTTGGTGTCTTTGTGTCCTGAAGAGTGCCTGACACTGCCTCTTATTCAGAATAAGTTGTCTATCTCTCTGTTTCTGTCTAGGACTATGTTTCTGTCTGTTTGTTTCTCTCTCTCTGTTCATGTCTCTGACCATGACTATGATTATGACTATGCCTCTATCTCTATGTCCGTGTCTATATCTCTGTTCTGTCTCTATTTGTGCTTATATTCCTTTCGTAATCATTGACTATTGAATTTTATTCATTAAAGAATAGATAGACATAAAGTTTGAAATAATCTGCTAAAATAAAAGAATGATTTTAAATCATGGATTTCATTTTGACCACCTAAAATCAAGTTGCTATTGAGACCCACAGAAAGGTATAATGTATTGCAGTAAACGTCTTGATGGCAGGGATCATATCTTCTCTACTATTTCTTTCTTTTTTTGCATCCCCACATGGTTGAACATAATGCTATGTATATAGAACAGTAAATATTTGTTGAATGAAATACTTTTTGAGGACTCACTCTAACAACAAAACATATAACTAAATTCTGTCAAGGAAAGCAAAAGAGTTATGGAGGGGATGGCATAGCCTTTCAGATATTTGAGAGACACATACTGTTTATTTGAGCTTTTTGCATTTGAATCTTAAAAGACCTTCTTATTTTTATTCATTTATTTATTTTTTGAGTCAGAGTCTCACTCTGTTGTTCAGGCTGGAATGCAGTAGCACAATCACAGCTCTCGGCAGCCTTGAGTTCCTGGGTACAGGAGATATTTCTGCCTCAGTGTTCTGAGTAGCTGGGACTACAGGTGCATACCACAACACTCAGCTAATTTTTTTATTTTTTATTTTTTTATAGAGACGAGGTCCCACTATTTTGTCTAGGCTGGTCTTGAATTCCTCGGCTCCAGCAATCCTCTTGCCTCAGCCTCCCAAGGTTCTAGGATTACAGATGTGAGCCACCATGCCTGGCAAGACCTTCTTATTAATTAATTTGAAAAGTGGTTCTTCTTTGGATAAGTTATCTTCTAATCCCCACTAGTGGCTTCAGGGTTGTCAGACTTTTTAAGGATGATTAACACCTCTCATAGGAAGCCTATAAAAGCTTTCAGATATAGTCTATTATCCTATTGTAAGTAAACACTTAGTGAGTGCTTGTTAAACACTAGGGAAGTCTTTACAACACATTCACATTGGTAGATGAAAAAGAATAGAGAATGCTGTGTGGGAATGGAGAGAAAACTTTTAGAATTGCGGTTTCCCCATTTTCCATGTCCCACCTCCATGGTGTCAGTGAACAATGGCACCTTGGCCTCAGCACAGCTCCCAGAGATGCCTGTTTAAATGAGAGACTCTTACCTTGCAGGAATCTTTCTGGCCTCTCGCGTCTCCTGCACATACCATGTTTTTGGTGATAAGAGGGTTGTGGTTGTAATAACTTTTGCTGTTGCACAGTTTTCGACTTAAGACAGTAACAGTGACTTCTTGCAGGGTGTCAGAAGGGCTTAAAAAATCTGGGCTGGTGGTTCCCCAGCCAGTAACCTGGCATCTGGCTCCAGATCTAAGATAGTTTTTGGATCTGGGGTGCAGTACCTGGACGTGCTTGTTGAGTTTTGCGGCCGTATGAAGCTGACAGATGGAAAAAAGAGTAAATGATCATTCTTTCCCAGTGGTAGTCTGCTGTTAGTTTGTGCATTATATGTGTGGTCCCTGTGTCTTAGGAGGGCGTCCTTTTTCTTGAGTCTACTTTGGTGGTAGACTGCAGCTGCATTTGTGGTTGCTGCTTTTCTGAATACACTCTTCATTCCCTGAGGAGCTCACTGAAGCTTGGGGAGGGAACTTATACAGAGCAGGAATTTCACCCAGTCTCAAGCAGACTGGCCTTTGCCCTGTATTGGATGGTTTTCTGTGGAATAACATCCATAGGTCATGACTTTGAGGGCTGGGCTGCTTCCTGCTGGATAGGACTCTTGAGACGGTCTAGACTGAGTTTGGACTAAGCTAAGTATGGTCTAGACTAAGTTGTAACTCACTTCTGAGTCCCTAAAGTCACTTGGTTGGCTCTGCTGTATAAATAACAGTTGTATTTTTCACTTGCTAATGAGAAAAGCATTTGGGAAAAAAGCTTTCAGGGTGGATCTTTGGGTCTGTTGAGATGTTCCCCTGCTGCATATGTATAAGAGTTGCTTTTCCTTGAAGCATTTGTGATAAATTCTTGTTTCTTTCAAGACAGTATGTGGAGCAACATGGAACCCTATAGAATATGTCACAATCACTTGGGGAGGGTGCTAACAAAGCACTTTTGTATAGATGACAACTAAATATTTGTTGAATATTGAGCCATGCTGTATAAGAATAATGGCAAAATTGAAGGTAGAAAATGCTACATACCTCAACAAGCATGATATCATTCGACTGAGGGTCTGATGTAAATTTCGAGAATGGTATGAATTTTTTAATCTTCAATATTTGTTTAGAGGCCTCATTCTTTGAGAGAGAGTGTGCTCCTAAAACCACTGTGGGAGACTGGGCTTTGACAACCCTGAAAAAGCAAAAAGAATGAAAGTAACAGAATGCTTTCCAAATCCCCCAGTGGGGAGTGGAGATGGCAGAGAGGGTCATGTACATACAGAAACAAGGACTATCTCCAAGGAAACCTGCTTAAGATGAGGGAGAGTGACAAAGGTCTCAGTGGACCCCAGCATGGATTGGTATCAAGGGCCAAATATGACTTGCCTTTAACCCCACCCCAACTCAATTCCCTGGCGTTACAAAAGAATATCAGAACTTGTACCCAACTGTGGGAAAAAGAGGGTGAAATCTCAATTGATTTAGATCAAGTTTACAGCAAAATCGGGTTTATTTATATAAAAATAGAGACAATTCTATTTCCTGAGTTTGTAGGTGGAGATTTATAGCAACTACCATTAAGGGTTTTTTTATATTGTGGTAAAATATATATAACAACATTTAACCATTTTTAAATGCATAGTTCAGTGTCATAAGGAACGTTTATATTGCTATTTATCTACCACTATCATTCATCTCCTTAGCTAACATTCACTAAACATTTTAATAATTGAGGTAAAGACTCCACTGTGTACTTGCTTGTCCATATGTCTAGACCTCATGTCAGGGCAACATGGGGAAGTAAGGCTCATCACATGACTGTCAGATATGCTCATATGTCCTGTCTCCTCAATTAGAAAGAAGGCTTGGACATGAAAGGAAAACTTTCCTCAAGGTGAAAAAAAATTGCTGATGTGAAATGAAGATACTTTAAGTTTAGTAGTCATTTCATTGTGGAGATTTATAGGGTATAAATGGGTGAGTCAGACAAAGAAACACAGGTTTTTCTGTTTTAAAAATCTCTAGTCATACACAGTTCTAATACCAGTGTTTCAATAATGCCACAATTGATCTGATTTACTATATATTGTATAAAATTACATTTATAACCAGTGATGAAAGTAGAAATCATTTTTTTTTTTTGAGGCCTTGGCAACATCCTGGAGGCATTTGTATACATATCTTTGTGGAAGCCACCTCAAATCCTTTCTTTGGAACAAGAGAGGGCATAACAATAATTGTATTTATTTGTTTAAATATAATGATTTCTTTGCTACTTGAAAAAAATAGACGAAGACAGATTTATAGTAAAAACACACATACTCATGCATATAGATGAATAAAGATAAATAAAAAATTATAAAAAGCACAGAAGCTTATAGAAAAGGAAGAAATTATTGTTTCAGAAGAATGAGCACCTGACTTTGGTGGGATGAGCTTATCCATAGCAGAGCTGTGACTGCCTGGAATGACCACTTTTTGATTTCTACCAAAAGAGTTTATTTTGAGAATTCCAGCTCTGTTTGTTGAAAAATCTGTCTATTGCAAAATCAGGATGGGGTTGAGACTTCTCATAGGATATGGATTGGATTTCCTGTGATCGATTCAAATTCAAATTGAGCACACCCACTAAACCCAAAGCTTTGTAGGAGAAGGATGATATAAAATCTCCAAGATTAAAACTCTAACAGTGAAGTGGATATGGGCATAAATAACTCACACAAAGAAGACTGTGGGGTGTGGAAGGTGGATCTTGACTAAGGGAGTAGTGCTGAAAGAATTCTGGTTTTCTTTCATCTTTTACTAAATTCTTTGACTAGTTAGTGCCTTTGAAATGGTCTGGCTATTTGCATCTCCACTGGGACACATTAATACCAAAAACAACCCACACTGACTGTTCTGTTTTCTGAACTTTTAATTTCTAGATACCTTTCAACTGTCATCTGTGCTACCAAGGTCAATCTTGCTGCCCATGGGATTTCTGGATTTATCTGAGTTCTAGGATCCCACCTTTTTAGCTAAACCTAGGTCTGAATTCACACAGAGAAGTAATGATCATACCAAGGTCTTTCATTTGTACAACACAATGTTTCTCCAAGTGTTTAAGCAGACACCTAGAGATGTTAAAATGTGGCTTCCTGGGTCCTCTGTGGACTTACCTGGAACAGAATTACATATGGGGCAGAACCACAGTGTTGCTTACAATAAGTCTGCTGAAGACATCTGTAAACACTGTCTTGGATGATCCTAACATGACCTTTCTCAGTGTGTTAAAGCTGATGGGCTGTATGTTCCTCACTAGTAGATATACTAGTAGAATATTCTGACTGGTCCAAGGAGACACATCTCATAAGTAGGGAAATCTGGGCCCAAATTCAGTTTTTGTAATTCCAAGCCCTATACTCTTCCCTCAACTCCTCTTTAAGCCCATACCAATCCCCTTCAAGCCTCTTATTTTCTCTACCAGCCTGCCGTAACTCTTAGTGATGTTTCTGCTTAGACCCACTGCTTGAGGTCTGGTGCAAAGGGAGCAGAGTCTCTATTTCTTGAAGGTTTCTATTGCCTAAGAGGGAGAAGGACCTGGCTGTCAGAGGGAGGTTTTCTTGGTCCTGTCCCATCAATACAACTGGAACATCAGGTCAGTTTCTCAGTTATTACCATGGAAGGCAGAGATAATCATAATAATCATGTTAACCTTTTTGTGGTAAAGTTCAAAACAGCACTGTAAGCTAGGCATTATGATGATCCTTATTTTATAGATGAGGACCTTGAGGTTCAAGTAAATTAACAAACTTGAGAACATTCTACAGATATTGAGTAAAAGCTCCAGGATGCAAACCCAGACAGGATTAAAACTCACTTGACTTGAATCCAGAGTCTAAAACATTTAGTCATTTTGCTTGGGAGCCTGGAGTGTTTGAGATGGAGTGAAGCTGTCACGAGAGGGCTGTGGAAGGTTCCATGGAATAAAACTTGCTAGGCAGGTGAGGGAGGGGGAAGTACTCTTTGAGGGGGGTTTTGGGGGAGACTCAGGAAGACAGTGGACGGCAGTTGGGGAGAATTTTGCTTCTGGTAAATTAAAATGCTGAAAATAAGATTATACAGGAAGTTTTTACCAGTTTCCTTTTATATTTGACATGAAATTAATAAAGGGAGATACCAAGATACCAAGGGAGAAGCCATGTGGATGGGTGGTGAGAAGGGAGCACCCCCTGATTTGGCTGTCTTCACAGTTTTGCTGAGAGAAAGGCCTGGAATAAAATATTCCCACAGGATACTGGGAAGTACATTTGTGGGAAGCTACCATTGAACTATTTCATAAATATTTTGAATTTCATAAAACTTAATATTTTTCTAAGCACTGATATGCCTACTTTTTACACCCGAGTGTCCTGTAGAGGAAATCTGATCTACATATTTTGGAGTTCTTTATACTCTAGCCATTAAAAGTGATATTTAGCAATAGTTTTGTAGTTTTTGTTTTGTTTTTTTAATTCTAAGACCTCTTTCCAGTCTTTTTAAAAAATTTCTTTTCCTCAATTTGGGAATCTACTTATCCTGAGTTAAGTACACTTGACAAAATTTAAAATTCAACTTAATAATATTATTTACCTTCCTATAGCACTTTATGGTTTGTGAAGCACTTCTCTTTACACCAGATTTTAGGCTTAGCAAAAAAAAGAAAAAGAAAAAAAGAAAAACAAAGGACCCAGTACTTTGGGAGGCCGAGGTGAGGGCATTGCCTGAGCCCATGGGTTTGAGAACAGTCTGGGCAACTTGGTGAGACCTCATCTCTACAATAAATAAATAAATAAATAAAAAGGAAAGAAAGAAAAAAAAAATCCTTCAATTTAGTTCCTTCATTCCATCCAGCATTTGTTGAACATTTAGAAGTCAAACTCTGTGTCTGGGGAGGTTATGGTCCGTTTAAATGCGTACCATCATCATATCTGAAGATGTGTACATTTTTTTTTTTTTGAGTTGGAGTCTCACTCTGTCGCCCAGACTGGAGTGCAGTGGCCGCTCCCGGCCACCGCAGCCTCGACCTGCTGGGCTCCAGCGATCCTTCCGCCTCAGCCTTCCGAGTAGTGGGAATTACAGGCGCACGCTGCCACGCCCGGCTGATATTTTGATTTTATTGTAGAGTTGAGGTCTCGCCTGCCCAGGCGGGTCTCGAACCCGCGGGCTCAGGCAATCCACTCACCTCAGCCTCCCAAAGGCGCGGGATTATAGGCTGAGCCACAGAGCCCGGCTAAAGATGTGTACATTTTGCACTGAATGAGCATGTATTGACAGTTACCCTCCGCCTTGCTGGTCCCAAGGGGACAAGTGCTCTGGAGAGGACAAAAGTGACGAGGATGAGAAAGTGATTTCTATGAGGGCAAGAACCCCTTTCAAATGAAGAAAACATAGCAAATTAGAAACTGGCAACTTGATTTTTAGAAATAAAAGTTCTCCCTGTTTACAGGCTTCAAAACTTCCAATGTGTGATCAACCAGTTCCATTAAAATGGGACAATCAGACAAAACCCCCAAAGCAGGGAGAAGCAAATCAATTCTGTTGTTTTGTTTAGATTTAGCCAATGCCTAGAGAGCAAACCATGATGAATAAGTTAAAGTGAAGTGCTACAATGTTCGTAGGAAAAGGTGAAAACTCCATCTCCGCTTGCTTAGGCAGGAAACATAAAGAAATAAGCACACAAACAGAAGATAGAACCCAAAGAACCCAAGCAAGCAAACAAAACAGCAAATACCAAATTAATTTTCTACTGCTTTTCCTTTTGTGATGGTTATTCCATCCCAAGATAGATTTTGTGCTTTCTTATGGGAAGTAGGAGAATCCCAGGTTGAAATGGACTTTGGGAGGTTGTACTTTATCTTCAGAAGAGCTTTCATTCTAAGTATCCCAGAAAAACAAATCTCTCTTTCTCTTTTCTTTTCTTTCTTTCTTTCTTTTGAGTTGGAGTCTCACTCCGTCACCCAGACTGGAGTGCAGTGGCCGCTCCCGGCCACCACAGCCTCCACCTGCTGGGCTCCGGTGATCCTTCCGCCTCAGCCTTCCAAGTAGCCGGAATTACAGGCATGCGCTACCACACCCGGTTGATTTTTTGATTTATTGTAGAGATGAGGTCTTGCTGCCCAGGCGGGCCTCGAACCCACGGGCTCAGGCAATTCACTCACCTCAGCCTCCCAAAGGCGGGGGATTACAGGCTGAGCCACTGAGCCCGGCTTATTTTATTTTCTTTTGAGACAGGGTTTCACTCTGTTACCCAGGCTGGAGTATAGTGGCACAATCACAGCTCATTGCAGCCTAAAACTCCTGGGCTTAAGGGATTCTTCTTGAGTTAATGTAAGGGGTCTAGAAACCCATTGGCAAAGCAGTCTTTTTCTACATATAATACTACTAATAAGGTCAAGTGCGGTGGCTCACGCCTGCAATCCCAGTCCTTTAGGAGGCTGAGGCGGGAGGGGAGGATTGTTTGAGCCCGGGAGTTTGAGACCAGCCTGGGCAACATCTCGAGACCTCGTCTCTACAAAAAAAAATTAAGAAAATTAGCTGGGTGTGGTGGCATATGCCTGTAGTTCCAGCTACTCAGGAGACTAAAGTGGAAGAATCACCTGAGCCCAGGAGGTTGAGGCTGCAGTGAGCAGGGATTGTGCCACTACATGCCAGCCTAGGTGACGGAGTAAGACCCTGACTCAAAAAAACAAAACAAAACCACTAATAATAGCTGAAATGATTTTGTGCATGCTAAATATGTCAACATGCTAAAATACCTAAGTAGATACTATTTAATTCTCAAACCCCATGAAATAGGTACGATTATGATTATTCCCCATTTGTAAAATGGGGATGCTGAAGAGCACATGGTGAGCTCAGGCGCTCTGGTTTCCTCACAAGCAGGAGGAAATCTTGCTCTTTCAAGGTCAGAAGTGCTGCTGCTTTAATTATTACTTTTGCTGTGTTCCCTGGCATTATACAGAGAACTTGAACTTGACTAACGGCTTCTCTGGGAAAAGAAGTCCAAATCTCTCTGAAAATGAAAATCCAGGGCAGAAAACATGGATGTGCAAGAGGGTAAATAAACCTCACCTGCTGGTCAGTGACTACAGAAGCTAACAGTAGATTGAATTCCCAACGAGCTTTTCTGCTACCCAACTTGCAGAAAAAACAGTATGTGGAAAAGTGTGAAAAGAAAGAAAGAAAGAAAAGTGTGTAGGACTTACTGAGGGTGGCAGTGGGCTGCTGTCAGCACCCACTGTGGGTCGATCAGAACTCCTCCGCAAATGTGATGTCCACCATACTGGATGGAGGCCATAAATGGCCTGGAATGAGGTGACACTTCTCTCCCTCCAATAATTTTCATATTGAAACCTGCAGAAGTTAACCAAAAGACTTCACATAAAAGATCCAAGCAGATCGTTTCATGTAATTCTTCCAATGACAGCCACTATATTATTTTCGAAGCTTAAAAAACAAGAATCCTAATGGTTATAATAATTTTACTGATGAACAATTGTATAATACATTACAGTTTTGAAAGATAGGAATGACTGTAAAAATTCTTTTCATCTATAGAGTAAAAATATAATCAGTAGAAATTCATTTAATATTCATATGTGGCAGATACTGGAGATACTTACACACTGGAATCATATAAGCCCCAGCTATCAGAAGAAACAGAGAAAAAGAAGAAAACTTTGTCATTTTAATGACCTAGATTTAAGAAGCCCAGGTGAAACTCTCTGATCCTATTGAGGAAGGAAAAAGATTCTGAAGACTGAGTTTTGTTCTTGTAAGTTTTAAGTTTCTCACCACAAGTGTTCTAGAGGTGAGATTTTTTTCACACCTAACTTTAAAAGTGTTTGGGTAGTTTCAGGTCTGTGCTTTTAGCACTATTGGGGAGAAGATTGTGTGCAAAAAAGAACTTATATCTGGAGGTAATTGTCACCAATATCTGAATAAGAGTACTAATGTTATAAATTGTGAAAGAATGAAAAATATCCATACCGTAAGAACTTAATGAAGTTGCAGACAGAGTTCAAAGATGTTCATTGCTCTAAAGTAATATTTACTATTTTTCCTGGCATAAAACAGTACCTATAATATTTCATTTCTCATTATTTTTCATTTGGACATAGATTTATGATGAAGAGAGTCATGAAAACTTGCACAGATCATGATTGTTTCACAATGGGGCTTACCAAAGTCTGAACATCATCCAGAGAAACACATATGTTTCACAGCAAACTTATTCCAACTCATGCCCATTTCTTTTAAATTTGACCAAATTTGATTAAATGTTAGTTAAATTTTTGGAATATTTCATAAAGTTTTTAAGGGGAACATTGGCAACATATTTTTGGTTGAGTCTCTCTTTTACTCATTCTTAATTGAAAATGACCATGTGTTTATCCAGGGCCTTAATAATAATATCTTTAAATAAAATCAAGGATGGCATTTCATCATTCTTCCCAGGCACAGATAACAATGCATTGCAAGTTCTTTTAAAGTACTTTCTCCTTCACTACAAAAGGTATTAGGCTTAAGATTAAACAAGATTCTGTTTGTGTCAGCTACTGATCAATAGTGCAAACACTGAGTACAAACAGACCTAAGTTAGGTCTCAGAACTCCAATCACTTTCTAGAAACATTGATTACAATTTACATTACATTAACAGATCTCTCTCTCTTTTTAAAAATATATGCATTCTATCTTTCATTTTTTCTAGAAAGGAGAATTAAAATTGAGAGCTATTAGGTTTTGCAGATTGCAAGAGACTCCTACCAAATTGTTGTTTTTTAGGACAAGAAAGTAGGAATAATAAAATAATATAAAATAATATATTACACATTGCAATTTAATAATATGTATAAGTAAAATTCCTTAAGTTATTTACAAAATTCTCATTATATCATCTTTTATGTTTTCAGGTCTATGTTTTTGAGGAAGGCAGGACAACTATTATATTATATTTATGTTACAATGGAAGAAATAAGCTCAGAGAGGCTAAGTAATTAGCCCAAGGCTACACATTATGACCTAGACCAAAAGCCTGCCTGACCAGAAGTAACTTGTATTTTAATAAGGACACTGCCAGAGGACAGAATTCATTTTACAAGGATAAGGCGACAGAAAAGCTTTCTGCATGTTAAACAGAATGGACAAAACCATCGCAGAGCAGAGACTGCCTGCCAAGGAGAACAGAAGGCGAGACAAGGAGGAGCCAGGTTAAGAAAAGCCACAAACTTAATAAACCAAACTTGTTAGTTCCACCCAAAAGCCCCTGTGAATTTTCTAGTCATCTCTGTCAATGTTGATGTGCCTTGGGTGCATCCCTCTTTCAAGTTGGAAGGAAGACAGGATGATGCCAGTGTTCTACTATATCCCAGAGATGCTAGGAAGATAAGGAAGATGGTGTGTGCCATGTCAAAGTGATCTGGACCCTAAGGAAGAAATAAACGTGGAAAGGACAAAGCTTCATGGTGGGGGTGGGGGTGTTACAAACAACTATCAGTTGCTTATTTCTGTGTAGCAAGGACTAACCTTCACATGGCTTTGTACAAATTGCTAAACATTTGCAGCTGTATTTCCAGGAGGTGGCTGTCATTAGTCTTGTTTCATGTATAAAGAAACTGAAGCTCAGGGACTTGCTTGCAATTACCAACCTAGCAGGTAGCCCCTAAGCCCTTGTGTTCTGGCCCCAGGCTCTATGTTTCTTTCAACCTGACCACATGCCTGTCCCCTTTGAGGAGTCCCTGGGGCTCAGATGCTCTAAGAGGCAAGCTGGCTGTGCAGAAGGGAAAAAGGATTTGGCCAGGCACACTGCAATTAGACATGGGTGAGATTTAGTTCAATTGGGTAGACAGTCTCATAACTCCTTCTTGTAGTTGACCTGGAAAATTCTGAGAATCATATTGATTTATAGTAATGAATTATTTGGTTTTGGCTTAAAACTGATGTGCTGGTTAATAGTATCATTTATTATTATACGCAGGATCCTGGATTTGAGAATGGCGGGCTGTGTAACATGATGAGCTCGGTGATCTGATTTATTTCTGGGTATTGGTTTTTGTTCTGTTGAGTCTGCTGCGGGGAGGGCTGTGTTTGCTTTGGATGGCTTTGCTGCAGCTGTGCTGGGCTGAGCAAGTACACGGCCATGTTAGGCCCCGGACTGACTGTACACGTTGGGCCTCGCGGTTCTCTTTTGCTGGGTTGTGCTTAGCTGTCCTCTTTAGGGGCTCTTAGGGATGTCATTTTTGACCCTTCTGTGTTTCAGAAGACCCTTATAGAACAGTTGTCTAGATGATCCAAAGGTCATGATGTGTGAGGTTCTCCCCATAAGGCTGCCTTTCTCCAACAGCCCGGACACCTGCTGCATCTGATTCATGAGCCACACCCCCTAGAGCCGAGTTACTCAAAGCCCACTGACCTGTGCCAGTCTGCGACCCATTTATTATCGATCTGGCGCAAGATGAGGACAGAAATTGAGAGTCAGAGTTTAGAAACTGTAACAGTCATTTCACATGGTTCTGCATTAATTGCATTTATTAATAAAGTATAATTTGTTCAATCTAATAAAAAATGGGATGTGTATTTTGTATGCCCTTGTTTTTGTTTAATTAAATTATCTATTTATTTGTGTTGTATAAATGTGTCAGTTCACAACGGATCCAAACTAAAAACAAACCGATTAACAAAGTCAAACCCCAAACATGCCTGGCCTTCCTCACAGGTAGTTTGAGACACTCACTCTGTAGACACAATTGCAAAGCAGATCTGTTCCAAGCCCTTCCCATCTGTTCCCTTTTAGCCTCCTTTGAATACTTTTCTCAATACCAAGTTTTCAAAGGCCTTCCCAGTCTCCAGCATGAGAGATCAGGATTTGGCAGAATTTCCCTGGGTCCCCTTCCTTGTAGCCCACCATCTTCTGGACCTTGATTTCTGTCCAGTTATGGCTTAGCTAATTTGATAAATGAATCTGCTAACAATTATGGTGAAACAATGGCAGCTTTGAAAATCGGGGTGGTGAAGTATACTGGGATGCTGTACAATGATATTATGTCCAGAGGTCCCAAGAAAATGTAACTCCTACCTTAGATGGTAGCCATCCCTCCCATGGGGTCCTTAAAAGGAATGAGTTTAAGAACAATTGCAAAGAAAAGCTAAGAACCTGTAGACTAAGACCCTGGGGCTTTGGCTTAGACCCATTGCAGAGACACTGAGTATGCTGGATTGGGGCACATGGAGCACTGTCTTTTCCTAAGCGATCTACATTTATTAAATACTTCAGCTCTATAGCCTTTCTTTGGTGGAATGATGGTGGTGGTGAGGGTAGGATAGAGGGAAATTTATCCTATCTTCCTTCACCTTAACTTTTAATTGGAACATATTTTGCATATCCATTATCTTCCTTTATTAAATATGAAGATATGTTTTCTGATCCACTCCTGTTGAGTTTAGTGACACAATAGTATTTTCACCTCCTCCATTACCCCCCTCCAAGTCAACTGTGAAATAACTGGAATGGATGAGAATTGCCTTCAGTGCAGGCTCTTGGCAGAAGGAGTAATCACAGGAAAACACCTTGAGAATTTGGCAAGCGGGGATGTCCCAGCACTCCTGGAGCTGGCTACCTGGTCATATACTGTCCCTATCTCATCTTTTTCTCCAGGCCTTATGCTGCCCTTTGGTGATACCTCTTCCATATCTTCCTTTCTTTAGGGTACCCTTGATGTTCATTTTCACTGAGTTCAAACATTATGGGAAGGATGAGGAAAGTCCCACATAGGGTGGTCCCCGTAAAATTGCTGGACCGGAGGCAGATCACTCACACTGTCTGCAATTTTGTCCTAGTGGATTCACACACATGAAAAACCTTTCAACAGTGAAAGGAAGGTTTGCAACCCTGGCCATTTTCCCAAGTTCCAGGCTTGTGGGGACCCTGGCCTTGCACAGAGGAAGGTGATGACTGTATGAGCCTCGTCATGTTTTAGGGAGAAAACTGGGGTCAATATGTAGGCTATGTTAAGGGGAAACGCCAGGGAAGATCAAGTAATAAAGACCAGAAGAAAGGCGGAGGCAGGAAGGGAAGGGAAGGAAATAAACAAATGTTGAGGAAAGACAGAAACAGTTATGAGAATAGGACGCCTTGTAGTGGAACCCTTCCATTTCTATTTGAACATCTCAGATACAGCACTGTAATGTGTCCCAAGCCAAATATGATATCATGGTTTTACGATAAAAAAAGTTAAAAAATCTTATCATGCTGAAAGCAATTGAGTTATTTAAACTAATCAGAATAGTTTTGTAAGATAAAGTCAGAACAAGCAAAAGAGTAGGAATTTTGAAGGGAATGATGAAGTTCATTAATGAAGGGAAACACAGTAATTCCTGTGGCCAAGTTGAAACTCAATAATTATTATTGATTAATTGATTCAGTGTTCCATAATTTTCCATTGAGAATGAATTCAAGTAGAGATATGAGTATGCTAGAAATATTTTTTCAAAGGCTAATGACTGACCAGACAACACACACACACATGTGTACACACATACACACATGTGTACATGCACAACATTCCCCTCCTACCCTTGCCCAGACCAACAACTGAATTCTTATCCTGCTCTTCATCGAAATACATTTAAGGCAGATCAAAGATTTTTCTGTGAAGAAATAAGATAATTGTAAACACCAATTGAGATGGCAAATTAAAAATAGGGTTTAAGGGGGGGAAGACATGAAGAAAACCACCAAGTTTCCTTTAGAGCATATAAA